CCTTGACTTAAAAGTTATTTCATTCATGTTATAATATTTTGAAGGTTCTATAAAATGAATATTTATACAATTAAATGATAGATACGTTCATTTTTATAGTTTTGAATATTTTTACTTTTCAAAACACAGTATACAGTAACTCCTATTCTTCCCCTTATTCTTCATTCTAGTCGAATTCTCGACTTCTGTTAAAGTTCCTTTAAAATTATAACTCTTGCGTCATTTTAAATTTGTCTTATGTAAGAGTTTCGAGGACGCGTTGCAGTTATCTTTATTTCTATCGAAGTTTCTATAATTATATTAAGCAACTCCTGTGAATAAAAATAAAAATTTAAAATGATTATAATTTAAAACGAATTTCGTAAAACCGATGACATTACAATGAGTTACGTCCTTCTGTAGCTATTCAATAGAATTACCTTTACCTTCGAAATGTGTACTCAATGTCCCTCCATATTTCATCATCTTCTTCATCTTCTAACTCTTCTATTTGCATTCTATGTCCTCCTCGTCCTCTTCTGGTATCGTGGTCCGATGCACCAAACGGACACGTCGTTACTGACTGCCTCGGAATGACTAAGTCCGTAGACAGAGATAACCGGCTCCGTTTCAAAACACTGAACGGCAGAAAGAACGGGTGTATCCGTGGCATATTTAACAGAATGCAAACGGCTTGGAATCTGATTTCACATTAGATTCGATAAAAACTACCAGCATTGTTTTTGACGGCGTCGGTTATGAATGTACAATAACCGTCACGATTTTACTACAACCGAATACATTTTGCTCACTCCGTCGGAGTTCACCGATGTGAAAATCGGCGACCATATGGTCTGCGTCCAACGGTCTAACGGTGACAGATCTTCTTCGTGACAATTTCGGCAAGTCATCTCATCGTCATAAACGTCATCACACTTCCAAGTACAGGAATCCATACTAAATGCACAACTCTTTTTTTTTCAGGATAAAAAAATAACACGCCGTTTCAAGCTGCAGATGTTGGCTTTATTTCGAATCATTCGAGTGTGAAAACGATTCTCGATCGAGTTCGCATCTGATATCACGATGTTTTCCGATGTCTTACGGCTGTACATCGATGACGTAAAATACGTCGTACAGCGATACTCCAACGTAGCTCGCATAAGCAAACACCGGAGTACAGACCCGAACATTTTTAACGCTGATGTTATGATATTAATAAATCAATAATTATTATTGCTTGACAACTATTTCTCCGTTCTTCGACAATATACAGGTTACTATAAATTATACTTTGAAGTATTATAGATCACAATTATCTATAGAACAGAAAGGGTAAATTTTGTATACAATTTTGTAAGAAGTAATATTAGTGATATTATCTTTAAGTTCAAATTTTGTGAATATAACACCCTTCGATAGAAAAATGATTTCATTTACGTCATTACATCTTGGAGGTAATGACGCGACTAGGAGTGTTGTAACTCTCTCCGAAAATAAATCCCGATTACGCCACTACTTGGAGGTTTAATAGAATAAATAATAAATAATACGATTTTCTTAAATAAAACTAATTTAAATGGTAGATACCTGCCTTCGTTTGCCGTTTTGAATATGTTTATTATTTCAACCCGTACAGCTACGTAGGTATGCTACAGTGACTCCCATTAACCACCAATCCATTAACTTAACCTAACGACTGCTCAGATGCGCAATAGCGTTGCTATTGTTTACACGTAAATAATATTTAAATAAATGATATACAAAATATTTTTTGATTTTATTTTCTTAATAAAAACGTACATTTAATTTGTTGGTGTTCCGAAGCCGAATTTTTTCGTACACATTTCAACAATCGATTACTGCTGGATCTGTAATTATATATCATGTGAAACGCTATTAAAACACATACCTAATATAAAATTACATTGATTCGGAATATGAGATTACTAAAATATGCAGTAACTAAAATGTAGCTAGTTTTAAAACTACACGGATATAGTTTTTTTTTTAAAAAATAAACAAAAATTTTGGTCGGTTGCCTTTAGACGTAAAACTCAATAAATTATACGTCGTATTAAGTGTATAATCGTAGTTTTTCCGAAGTTGTTATCCAGTATCCATCCACGTCGATCATATTTTTTTATAAACATACAGTGTGCAACTTGAATAACGTATACTTTATGTCTTAAACCGTTTTCGTGAAATAGAAACCCTTGCGTCATGTGATTGGTTTTCGTTGTTAGAAAATCGTCTGAACGTAATTTATACGTTTTATTTGAATATTTATCGAATTACAAAAACATTAAAACTGAACTGTTACTAAAAGTCAGTCCCGAAGTTGTAAATTATTGATACCAGTTATGCACTTCCACCAATTGACCTGTAACATTATGCACGAGGCATCGTTGTTGTGCAGTGACCGATGCAAATTTAAAACGTACCAATACCTGATCGAAATAACCATAAAGAGATTGTCGTCTTAACTCGTTTGATTAATATTTCGATGGTTCAAAAGAAGAACCTAAGAACGAAGGAAATATTAATCATAATACCTTATCTTCGCGCAGTTTCCCTATTAGGATTTACATGGTTACCGCGCGATTCCGATGGTTCACGATATACAAGTCCGTTGACCGTCGTAGCGTATAGCTGGTGTAATTTACGACTTAAGCGCCGGTTTTCAGTGACTCCGGTTGTAATGTTGTTGCAGCGGATAATATCCGTATGATATTACGAAGTTTTTAAAACAAACGAGGAAAACCAATCACAGAATATTGTGCGAAACGAGACACGGATTTTTTTTAACGGAACGAATGAGGTGCACGAGGGAAGACCGCATGCAATACGATAAATAAAATAGAAATAAGAATGAGATGGGGCGAAGGGGACGATTGGCCCCCCGGGCGCCAACATTTTAGAGGCACGTCAAAATGTGTTTTCGCGCCTAGTTATATTTTAAAAACAGTGATTGAAGTTGATTCCGAGTACATTCCGAGTTCCGACGCACTCGAGTTGAAATTAAATTGAACGAACGTAGGATCATTCGTTTGATAATCTTCGCGCGGCATATAACGGCCTAGTCCGGTTGTCGTACTACGGGCTCACAATTCAAGCTCGTGATCCGCCAGGATCAGGCTCGGCTCGAGTGTTTCAACAAACATAGGCGAAATTTAGTTTTTGCCGCCCCTTACGTGTAAATATTTTATCAAATATTTTTATTTTTTTTTTATACATAAAAATTGTCCAGTAAAAATGCCATCCTAGGCGCGGGCCTATGTCGCCTACCCCTTGAACCGGGCCTGACCCGGATCGCGACTGCGATCGAACAATTAAATATAAGTTATATGTTAATTTAGTGTAACTGTTTACCCATTTTCCCATATCCTCTGGCTGATTGTCTAAACGTGGCACCGGCCGCCGCGCGAGACGTGCGCGCGCCTCAAACGGGCGGCCGCGTTTCTTCCTCGTCAATCAGCAGCTGAAAGTTCTCCGTCGCCTTGGCCGACGGCCGTTTGTTCCAGGCGGTGTTCGGCACGCCGTCGGGCGGCAGCACCACTCGCAGCACGTTGCCGACCAGCTCCTTCTTCAGCGCCCGGTCCAGCTCGGACGTGGCGACCAGCGACGGGCTGGAGTTGATCTCCAGCAGCCACGGCTTGAGTTTCCGGTCGACCATGACGTCGTAACCGTAACACTCGAAGCAGTGCTTGTCGTAGAACATGACCGGCTGGACCGCCTTCAGCGAGTGCACGATTAACGCGCGCACGTCGGCGATCAGCGCGCGCGTGGCCGCCTTGCCGCGGGTGCGGTCCAGGTGCTCCTTGAGCGTCCCGATGGTCACCTTGTTCACCTTGCCCGGCTGCTTCTGCACGGACGCGTTGGTCAGGTGCACGAACCCGTTCTCCATCTCGGACGCCCTGTTGGTGTACGGCACCGTGCATATCCGACATATGCCGTGGTTGAACAGGTACGCCTTCAGCGGCCGGAACGACGTGACCAGCACGTACAGCCGCATGTCGCACTTCTTGCCGTACAGCAGCAGCGGCTTGGTCACGTATCTGGATATGACGTACGGTTCCGGGGCGCCGGTCAGCCGATAGTCCAACGTGTGCCGGTACGCGGGCGACCATCGGTCCACCTGCGACAGCCGGTTGACCAGGAATATCCCGTTGCCGTGGCACTTGCCCACCGGCTTCATGATCCACACCTTCGATTCGCCACGCGTGAACTCCTCCAGGAACAGGTCGTACTCCTTGGGCATCTCGAACGTGGTGGGGAAGAAGTCGGTCGCGTCCGACCGCCTCGTTCCGGCCGCGTCTCTTTTCAGCTCGCGGTTGTACCGTCTGATGTTCTTCAGCAGCAGGTCCTTGCGGCACAGCTCCGAGCTGTTGGGGAAATGGTTGACCATCTGGTTGGCCAGCATCCGGTAGCCCTGGTCGCCCCGGAACAGGGTGCAACATTTCTTCTGCGTGGCCCAGTAGATGTTCCAGTCCTTCTTCGGGCCCACCGCCGTCCACTTCATCTTCTTGAAACACTCCGTCACGACCGGGTTATGGGTGTCCAGATAAAATTTCATGTTCCGTGCAGTCCGTGTGCGGCGGCGGGGTGGGGGGCTCCGGTACGAGTTTCGGTTTGCGCGTGTTTCGCGAGTCCAGGTATGTTTCGAACCTTGTGCTTGTCTTTTGCGTGTTCTAATACGTCGCAACGGAGTCGTTTATTGTTTGTGGCCAGGAAAACAGGTATGTATGCATTTCGACTAAGCCCCCCTCCCCAAAAAAAAAAAAGTTTGAAAGCCCCCCCGAAATTATTAAACCGTTTTCATAGTGTAAAATATTAAAATAGGTACTTATTTTACAACAATCACCAAAATCTTGAACTCTATACAATATTTTTTTTCCGAAATGTTGTCAAATGTCAATATAATTATTATTATACCATATTATATTTATAATTAATCGTCATCGATGCGCACCGGCTGACCGTCGCGATGGATTGTTATCGCATTATAGCAATGACAAAAATAGAAATTTCCGATAATCAGACTTTGATAAACATTAGTAATTTGCCCGATTGCCGATTCGACCGTTTCGTCTTTCGTGTTGCTTTGTTCACTGTTGTAAATCCAAAACCGTATATTGGGTCGAATGTAATATTAAAATGTAAATGTTGCCTACACGTGTCACGTTGTACTTTTCGTTGTCGCTGTATCTGTATTTTGTAAAATTGTTTATAACTTTGTATAACTGTGTATAACTGTAACCTGTAGTACTTCAGTAATTTCATTAGTGTTTTATTTATTTATTAAAATGTTGAATATTTTTGAATTATTTAATTTTAAAAGAAAACCTAAAGAAGCTGTAAAATCTGAAAACGTGTTACCGAAGGAAGTTCCTGGAAAAACTACAGTACACTCCGACTGGTCATCGAATATTGATTTTGATTCTCGGCTTAAAATTAGTGATATAATTGATTTGGATAACATTAACTATGGTCCATCACGTCCAATTATGAAGGTAGAGATGTTTATGTATTAGAGATAAATATTGGCTATATTGCTTAGCTTATTTTTTATTAAAGTTATTTGCATGCAAAAACTAGATACTAATTACATCTAGGTACTTAACATTTACGATTTACAATTCAACTTTGGTCATAAATAATTAGAAACCTAATGGGTATTAATAATATATAAATATGATTTTTACATTTTACTATTGCAATATTGCATACTTGCTGTTGTTGGTACTATTAAGGTATATAGACATAGAGTGACTATAGTGACTACTACTTTTAAATTATGTTCCAGTCTTATCAAATGACAAAATTTGGTCAACAAAACCGTAGTTTTAATGCATCATATTATTAAGAATATTGTTAAGAAAAAGGAAAGATTCAAATGATATTAAAAATTTCATTGTCACTAGTACTAGCGCACATTACACAGAACCTACACAAAATAACGTACAGACAACCGAAGATTTCTACAGAATAAATGCCTACTTTGTGATATTCTTGATACTCTAGTTACAAAGTTAGAAAAAAGATTTTCGAATGATAGTTTACAAAGGGGCATATCTGTTGATAATTTTTTTCAACTAAAATTTGAAGAAAGTCAATGTTTTATTGATCATTATCAAGTAAATCTTCAGTTTTTAGTTTTATGATAAAAGTCATTAGTACATTTTAATTGTTTTCAGGGATTATTAGGTTTATTGAAAATCAATATTCCGTAAGAGATGACCGTAGCAAAAAACAGCATCTTGCAATCAAGAAATGAAATAAATTATAAAACAATAAAACAAAATATTTCTAAAAGTGTGTTTCCCAACTTATACAAACTACTACAGGTAGCCATAACAATACCAATCAGCTTAGCTACATGTGAATAAAGTTTTTCTGCAATGTGCAAAGTTAAGACACGGTTACGTACGTCTATGCTGAGAGAAAAATTTAATAACTCTTCAATATTATACATTGAAAAAGATATTAATATCAGTATGGAGAATGTTATTGATATATTTGCTAATAAAAATAGGTTTATTGTATTTAAATAATAAAATATTTATTGTATTATAAATTAATGATGTTTAAAGTGCATAATGTATAATTAGTAATGCATATTTAGTAGTTTTGTAATTTAGTAATTTAATGTGTACTGAAGAGTGAAGGTAAGAGTGAGGATGTGAGGGCAAAGCCCCCACAGCTTATTTTGTAAAGAAACATTTAAGCCCCCCCCCCCTAAAATTTAATCCGCCTCTACCTATAAGTATGAAAGAACTGGCGCTCAATCCAAAGTCGATTGAGTACATGATAAAATATGGTATTTCAATTAATTATCTGATTATCGTAACTTTATACTGTTTCGTAAAGATATAAATTATAATTTTTTTAAATACATTTTTCGCGTTTCATACTTGTTATCTTGGTTTTTTTTCTGTTGTACTTGAACGAATCATTAACATTAACATTTTTTTATTAAAACATGTTTAAATTCTCTGTTACATCTCGATCCTATTTGCGTACAATCATAAACCATTCTAATTACATTAATGACATGCCAATGATTGATCTATAATCTTATACATTCTCTATGTCCAAATAGGCATATCTATGCCATGATTGGTTGTCAATCTTACAGTTTTTTGCTAGCTCTTATTCTTTTTGGCACCATTCTGACATCAAGAATGAGGAAAAACAATACCAAATAATTGTGTTGTCCAATTTGCAATTAATTTTTAGAAGAGTAACATTAAGTAAATGAAACAGTAATAACACTGGGTTTAATTTTGCATTATATTTTTTAAAAAATTTAAAACATTGTTTTTACAAATTTTCTAAATAAAAAAAATCATTTTTATTATAGATTATAAAATAGAGTTATTTTTAATTAAACAGATAATTCTAATTAGTTTAAACTTTATGAATTCAAATAATGGAATAATCAATAACAAATTAATTTGGTATATCAACCTCATTTTATATTAGTGTTTATATCTCATCAAATAATTATTAAAACATCATAAATTAATCATACATCTAACATGCGTTAAAATATATCAATACTGAAAACTTAAGTTTAAGACAGTTATTTAATTATATAATGCTATAATTATCTCTAATTTAATCCAGTTACATTAAAAAAAAAAAAAAAATAACTAACAGTTATAATAGTAACTATAATAAACAATACAGTTGTTAATAAATTGTATTTGTAAATTGCTAATTTTCAATTATTTAATCGAAAAAAAGCCAAGGTATAAAAATTTACTATGATTGTATGTGTATACAATTTATTTTTAATGTATTTATATTAAAAATAAGAATTTAAACTTTCTAAAGTCGTGAAATATATTTTAATTACTTTTAATTACTATTATTCAACATTTGTAAAATAATGTAAAAATTATTTAGGTAATCAATTACCCAATGTCAAAAACTGTATTAGTTCATTACAAAATAACAACAAATTGTGATCAATTAATACAAAGTTTTATACAAGTATTAATTTGATTAGTAATTGAACGTACATAAGATGCTCCAAAATATTATATAGCGACTAAATTATTTGTGTACATTTATATTTCTCATTAGGTAAAAATCATTATAAAAGAAATGAATCTTATAATAATAAAACATTTGAATAAAAAGTAAAGTAAAAAAAAATTTAATTTTTTCAGAGTCAAGTAGACACACTGATAAAAAGTCATAAAATTTAATTTATCAAGTTTACACTATTTGACTAAAAATGTTGTGTAACATTTATAATAATTTTAAATTATACATATATGTATTGTATATTATACACAATATACATCTAAAATCAATCAAAGTTCATAAAAGAATATTATTAATAATTATAATTTATAATGTTAATCGAGTCGACATTTAAAATCCCATCGGACAAATTAGACTCCACAAGCTATTGGCAGTATCAACTGGTTAAAGAGTTTTAATTACTCTTTACAGATCAAAAACAACGTCAAAAACTTTCAAGGTCCCCACCTAATTCTTAAAGTGTTAGTGTAAATTTATATTTAAAAGTTAATAATAAACTAAGCATAAAAAATACTTAATAACTATCACACGTAAATTGTAGGCCATTGTTGTAGTTATATTACTGTTTAACAAACAACACATATACACAAGGTTTTTCATTTAAACATAAATAATTTAAATTTATCAGGTATAATTAATGTTTCATAGTCAAATAGTTATTTAAATGTTAGATAAGTGTTAGAAAACTTTATAAAAACTAAATGTGAAATGTAATGGCATGATCAAACGTTTTATTAAGGAGTAAGGACTTTCCATTTTTCAAACTTTTATTGATCAAAAATATTATAAATATTAACAGTAATAAACTTAAATATTGATGAATACAATTTTAAAATAATTCATCATGTTGTATAAATATATATGTGTATGTATTATGTATTATCTTATGAATTAATATTCTATAATGATATTGAATGTATTTTCAATAATTATTTACTATTAATTAATAATATAAATTCCTTTAGTTATGTTAATTAAATAGATATATAATGTAAATAAATATTTACTAGAATATATTTTTGACTTACTATATTTTAAAAATCACAGAACTTTTAACAAGAAATTTAAAAAAAAAAAAAAAACTACATAATTCATAAAAACAAATTTGGAATCCTCATGTGATCACTGTTGGAGCAGTACGTCCAGTAAATTGTGATAATTTTGAAATCTCTAGTGCAATCTGTAATTAAAATAATTATTTTATAAATATATTAATTAAAAAAAAAAAAATTGTATTATGAATTACAAAATATAATATTTTATTCAACATATAATAAATAATTATCTACTATATATTTTTAGCTCAAGTTAACTTCATTGTATTTACATTTTTCAATAAACTATTATTAGTTTAACTTTACATACTTGAACAAGAGGATTAAGAGCCACCTGCGCATCTTCCAAAATATTTGATGTTGGAGGTTCATAGGATTCCGCATATAAACGGATAGTAGCACCACTACTTCCAGTACCACTTAAACGAAATACAAATCTAGATCCATCCTCAAACAACACTCTTATACCCTAAAGGACAATTAAACAAATACATTAATCATATTCATTTTACTAACATTAAAACATTAGAATTAAGTACCTGTTTTCTGGTGACACTTTTATCAATTGGATCACAATATTCAAAATTATCAGCCTGTTTCAATATGTATACTTTTGAACCAAAAATAAACTTCTGGCCTTTGATTTTAGGATCGGTGATATATTTTTCAAATTCTGACATCATTTGATTACATGGTTCAGATTCACAATTTTCATAATCATATCTAGTGAAGAAATTACGACCAAAAGTTTTCCAGTGATTAATAAGTATAGTTTCTACAGACTGTCCAGTGTTGGCTATAACTGATAACCAAGCCAAAACAGCCCAAATACCATCTTTTTCTCGAATATGATCAGAACCAGTTCTAAAAAAAAAAAAAATTAAGGTTGATAAATAAATCAGATACATAGTCATATATAATATATTATAGAAATCAATTGTAATTACCCAAAACTTTCTTCGCCACAAAGTGACAAACGACCTGCATCCATTAAGTTACCGAAAAATTTCCAACCAGTGGGCACCTCAAAAAGTTCTTTACCGCATTTTGCTGCCACTCTAAATTATTTTTCAAATTGAGTAAAATAATTTTTAATTGCCTTATATATTATAATATTATACCTATCAACAGCTGCTCCTGTTGGCATACTTCTGGCGAATCCTTTAACTCCATTAGTTTTAAAGTAAGGGATACATTCCAGATTATTTGCTAATACAGCCAACGAATCACTGGGATTGATAAAAAATGCTTTCTTACCAAGAATCATATTACGATCCTAAAATTAAGTTCAATTTTTGTTTATAAAAGATAAAAATTAATATAATAACTAACCTAATTCAAAAATATTGTAATAAATATTTTAGTTATTATACATCCATATAAGAATTTACAAACATAACTTATTGACATATAAAACTTGTTAACTAAATTAAATATATTTCAAAATTAAATTAATCAATTACTAAACTCAACAAATACAGATTGACTAGTTAATATACATCAAAGAGGTATGATTATTAAATTAAAAATTGAAAAACTCTTTAAAAATAATTAGAATGTAAATTGTTGAAAACTTACACCATCCCCATCAAAAGCAGCTCCAAGATCATACTCGCCATCTTGTAATGCTTTTACAAGGGTAGAAGCATAAGTAAGATTAGGGTCTGGGTGTAGACCACCAAAATCAGTTAAAGGAACCACATTGATAGCATTATTTGATGGCGCGCCTAATTCTTCAATAAAAATTTTCTTCACGTAAGGACCAGTAACTAAAAACAAATTTATTACCTTTAAAATTATAATTTCAAACAGTTAACAACATTAATTTTAAATTATAGAATAATGTAGGTAAATATTATTTTTATATTACCATTGATCTATAAAATGTTAATTATGTGTTTAATAGTTTAAACACATATCTTACCTCCATTCATTGAATCAATGAGCATGTTAAAAGGAGCTTTGTTTTCAGACCCTTTGATTAACTTTCGGATAATATCAAAATCAAAAATGCTTTTCATTAATTGAAGGTAATCTACAACGGAATCAATGACTTCTACCTCAAATTCTCTACCATCAACCTATAAATAACATTTTATATTTATATTTTTTAGATTATAATTAATCATAATAATATTATAAATTATACTTTGAAATATTGTAAGCCACAATAATCTATAGAACATTTCAAGTTGGGTACAATTTTATAAGAAGTAATATTTTTTGTAAGTTCAAATATAGCATTTGTGACTGATTCTGGAGCAGGTCCTTTAACAAGAAACAAACATATATTATCATTTTTATGTTTCATAAAAAAATTTAGAATTTTAATACAAAGAATATATTTACTATCAATCATAGTATAAAATAAAATAAGTATCATAGAATATACATCATAGAAAAACCGAACTGTCAAACTAATAAAACTTTATTTTTGTCGAACATCAAACTATAACTTACCTCCATTGGATGTATTATATTTGATTCCAAAATCATTGTTAGGGCCACCAGGATTATGACTAGCTGTAAGTACAATACCACCAGTTGCTTTATATTTTCGAATTATACAAGATACAGCTGGTGTTGATAAAATTCCTTTGTGTCCAACAATTAATTTCTTTACCTTAAAATTAAAAATGTAAACATTATCATCACATTTTACAATAGAAAAAATAATCTATACATAAATATAATAACACAATTATATTTACCGTATAAATTTAAATACTTCATCATAAAACTTATAGACTAGTATTTTAAGACAAATTTGTAAATTAAAAATGTGATCTAAATAATAGACAGTCTGATATTTTACCATTTTAAAATTGTATTATTTATTACCTACGTGAAACTTTAATCTTTAAAATAGTAAATTATTTGATTATACTATTATGTCATGTCTATATTATGTAATGACTATCAAATAATTTCTCAATAAATCTACATGATAATGAAATATCATCAATAAACTATGTATTAGATATTCAATATATAAAAAAAAAATGGTTTGAATTATATTTATCCCTATTTATTAACAGTTATGAAGATAAAATAAGGAAATTATTAAATTAAATTAAAAATTAACAAGTTTTTATGAATTTGTTAACTATCGTTCATTTTTATTGTTGAAACTCTTGGTTTAAATGATTTATCATTATACAAACATCTATATTAAATGTTATGTAATTTAGTTGAAAATCATATTTTTTAATAAAATCATTGATGAATAATTCATTTAAAAGGTAGGTATTTACATAACAAATGAATAGAAAAAAACATGATAACAATGTGGTATACATATATAATAGTTATGGTTAGGTAATGCTTAAGTAGTTCCTACACAAACACATAAAATTACATTATCAGTTTCTCATATCACAGGAAAATGTTAAAATACATGTTATAAAAAAACAGCTTCATGACAATAAAATCCATTGGAGAAAACATTTTTAAAGTCTTGATACAAAGTATTTATTATCTTCAATAAAGCAATAATTTATTTTTCGCTACAAAATATCTGTTTGATATCACTTTGTAACCAAAATAAACACATTAATACACCAATTTAAACGATGCACAAATCATATAGTGTTCGACTTACGTCAGAAAAATTCGTTTTTCTCATAAAATATAGTCATAATATTACATACATAGTTTATTAAGAAAAGAAAAACCGTTTTCCGTAGCAACAATTATGTTGAAAAAAAATATTAATAAAAACAACCAACAGCTGAAGGTCAAAGATTCGTAACATTATTATCTTTATGGCCAAATCATTGTAAAGTTGTTGGTAAGACCGAGATAAGCGTAAATATCGGATAACACGCTGCGTAATCGATTCGAGTTTTTTATCGGAAAGAAATGAGTTATTTTGCAATTAATTTGCATTTGAAAAAAATTCCACTAGCTTGGTGGACGCGAACGAGAATATAGCGCGAACAGCGAGTGATAAGACTTTCGGCTGTTTTTCTGTTACGCCGTGATAACGAGGTTTAAAAATAACCGCACAACGGCAACGTTGGGCGCGATCGCGGGAGCTCGGTACTCTCTGGAGAATTCGAGTACAATTATTAAAAAAATGGTTTTCAGAGCGAAAACACTTTGTAAAGAAACAAACGACCATATCGAAGTTCTATTTTGTGTTTATCGTGTTCAATGCGAATTCCAAAATCGAAAATTTACACTCGAAACGAACACTTAAGTTTTCGACTTAGTGTCCGTCCACAGATGATGCGGTTCGATGGAGACTTTTGGAAAACGCGGGAAAACCTCCCCGGTCCACGATGTGGGGGGAGGGGAAACGTACCCCGTTGGCCGCGGCTATTTTGATGATCAAGTCCACGGCCTCGGCGCAGAAGAACCGGCCGTCACCGCCGACCACGACGGTGCTGCCCACGGCCGACGGTTGGACGGCGCTGAACACGGCCTGCACGAAGTTCTCCGTGTAGTTCGGTTGCTGGAACACCTTGACGGCTTTGCGCAACCCGCTGGTGCCCGGTTTCTGGCCGTCGAACGGTTTCGTCTCCACTTGTACCGTGTTCATGGTTAGGTTAGGAGGGAAGTCAGAGAGGTCGGCTCGTCTCGCTGACCGGTAACGATGGCAACAAGACGCGGAGAGCTTGCGAGAGAATGAGAAACCGTGACGGACGGACTGGCGGAGAGAAACGACCGCGGACGACGAACAGGCGCGTAATGACCGCCTCGGTCGACTGGTCGTTTATGACAGTAACAACAACAGCGGTGCGCCGACGGGGAACGGCACACAGCTGATCGCGCGGCCGCCGCTGACGACCGATAGGCGCCGTGCCCCCGGGGAGGGAAGCTCGCCGGTCGCCGCAAGGTTAACGTTTACGCGTGACGCATGCGATTCACGTGCGCGTGCCGTGTCGTTTGATTTGAAAACGTTATCGTATCAAAAAGTTACGAACGTCGCGCGACAACTTACGGGGGGGAGGGGGGGGGACAGAGAAATGTTTACGGCATCGGTACCGCACAGCCAACCACTAGAAAATGACCGTCGAGAAAATAAAAAATAGTGAATTTTCCACACCGGCGTTCGCATCAAAACTGAACAAATACTGTAACGTGTATTTTGAATAAGCTCAAGCAATACAACACTCGTCGGCGGTGGAACTAGGAATAAAAATATTTGTTTTGCACGTAAAATATTAAACAAATAAGAAAGACGTATCGACCAGTGATGGGAACAATCGAGTGAAAATAATCGAATGATTCAAATGTTAGAAAAAATAATCGATGAGTAACTAAGTCACTAGTCACTCCATAAGAATCGAATGGAAAAATTACTAACAAAATACGAGTTACTTAAACTGTAATAAGTGTTAATGACTTATAAACGAGTAGGTATAATTTTATTCTACTAATCTATTAACCACAAATATCCGATCTCACACTTGAATTCATAGAAAGCAAAAACATGTTATAATTATTTAATTTGTTCATCATCTCGAATCTTATTTAAATCAATAACCGTTATAGACTTGAAATATTTCTATATTAAAATACTTATCTATTATTATTTTGATTTATTCATTTTTTATCGTTCCATATTTCTTACATTTAACTTTTGACGTTTGAAACTGGTAAACAATATTATTTTATTACGTGGTATCTACGTAAGTAACACTTGGTTATAATATTTATTTATAACTTCTCAGTATAATTTATTAATTCGTACCTATATGTACATGTACCTGTAGGTCACGCTTGTTTACAAGACAATGCTCTAGGCTACATCTTGATTTGTATAATTCATGATAAATATAATGTATTTACTGTACTATACATATATATATATATATTGATATAATAATGAATATCTTTATTTCTATCGTAAATAAGTGTTAAATTTTAAATGTATTTTTTTTTTGTTTTCATACAATATTAAGTGTAATGTAAGTACTATGAAATTTTTTATTTTTTATTAACAATTTGACTATTGATTGGGTTTTTAAATTATTTTAAGTGAGAAAATATTTCGATAAGAATATTTCTATGCTTTTAATCAAGTGAATATTTCAAATATTTTAATCGAGTGAATATCTGGATTCATTTAATCGAATGAATGTCTCGATTATTATTATATCACTATTATTGAAATTATTCGATTATTTAGTTCCCAACGACTTGTTGAGTAGGAAAAAAAATGATAAATCATCTGTGTATTCAAAAAAAAAAACACCCTAGTCCCTTCACAGGTGATTTCGGCAGCGTTTGACCCTAATAAGTTCAGTAAATATACGGCAGATGATTCAAACAACACTTGTTCGGATATTCATTTAATACCAAACTGTAATCCATGACATATTTGCCGCATTGTGATAGGATTTTTTAAAATGTATATCTTAATTTGTAAAACATTTAATTAAAGCAGTTTCTATATTTTCGTTTTTATGGCCTACTGATTTAACAAATTTAACAAATTCAAAAAATATTTCAACGACAGAATTATTATCTTCCATATACCTTACAATAATTGTCAGTTAATCAAAGTTAGGAGTCGATTTAGAAATCGATCAGGAGTCGAGTCAACAATTATTGAAAAGTATTTCATTTTTTTTATTCGAATTACAATGTTATAAACAACTATTTTGCTCATTAATGAAATAAATTCATCGCCTATTGTATACAATATATTCCGAGTAAGACACATTACTACGGTATTCGTTCCCATAGTACGATGTGTGATTTTAAATCAATGGATCGTATTCAGAAATTAATTCTAAGCACAATTGATAATTCCCTTTATGTTTTTAATAAAAATGTTCATATTTACAACATATTTGCAAACCTCTTTGTGATAAAAATTTGATTTTAGATCTTACGTGCACATTTTTCCAATAATTAATTTCTTTATTATTTGTTCTTGCAATACCACCCTAATAAATTTACCGTCCTGGAGTTCCTTTTGCACCTGTATTAATCCAGGCCTGGTCCGATCATCATGGGCCAAGACTGATATAGATATGAACTCATTATTACTATAATGCGCGAAAGCCATGTTTACCTACTCGCTACACGCCGTTTGTGGTTTTGTGGCATTTTCACCGTTCTATATCAACAATTGTGGACGTCGCGCGGAGGTACAACATCGATCTTCGACTTTACTGTGGTCATCCTTACAATCGTCTAAGCATTATCGGAAAAACAATGAAAAAACGACAATAATATTTATGATAATTACGAAAATGATCACAGCTATTTATCGTCACGAAAACTTCGCGTTTTGGTAACGTACCAGAAATTAATTGATTGTTATTGAGAATGATGTTTGTATAGATCGTATGCAATCATAATATTATAAATTGTACACGAACGCAGTTAGCAGTTATACCAATGATCGAGTTTGCGCTAGCGTAAGTACCCGGTTATTTTTTCAACGACCTTCCCGTTTAACTGCCTATTTATAGTAGATACCATAATTGTTTCGCTCTTCACGCTGTTCACACATAATACTATCCTACGTGCTTAAAACGAATCCTCGAAAATAATTAGCCGCATTACCATTACAAAAACTAAATATTACTGAAAATCTACTCTCGGGCGTACGCAATATTGTACTTTTATCATCTTGGCATCTGCTTGAACAGACAATTATTGATAATCCTTAGAGATAATAACGATGAACACATATTGTTAATTATTAAAGCTTTTAATTGTATTTCATAATCTATTTTTATTTTGTAACTCGTTACATTTTATACGGTCGTCAATTATTCATTACTGGATTGGAATAAATTGTATATAAACGTAATATTATTTTGTGGTATGGTTCCATGGCTATGGGTCCGATAAATCGAAGGTCGATAGGAACAAAACAAAGTTCGACATTTCAAGATTAACAATATTTAAAACGGAAAATTACATTTCGTCGGGATTATAATGTATTCAAGAGTCTAATGTCTGTATATAATAACATACCATCGTAACGTGTGTTTATTTTCAGTTGGATTATTTTTTTTATTTCTCTGACATTTCAAGTACCTACACCTACTCTCATTCTCATTAAACATTATACGATGTTTATTACTATTATGGTATATTTATATGACACGTTATTATAATGCAACGGTATCAGTGAACACTCCATTCACGTTCTAAAAATAAATATTTTTTGCCGTTGCGTTATTATAATATAAAACACACAAACGATGAGACGAAAAAAAAATAAAAATTATACGTAATTAGGTACTCGACACATTAAACTTTCATCAAACAATAGAATTCGTCGAGAATACAATTTAAAAAATATAGGATAATATTGATAGTAAAAAATTATACGAGTATAATTAGACAATGAGACAATTTGTTGAAGGATTTTACGTATATTTGTATAAAATATAAATATCTATAAATATTTATCACGTGGTTTTTATAAAACTTGACAAGTACCTGTGGTACGTTTGACAAAAATGTAATTGAAATTTTATTGCTACAACATCGAGAGAAAATTAATATTTGAAACGAGAATAAAGCCATATAGATGCGTACCACATACAAGTTGATTTTTATTCATTATATTTTCGCTCAATTTTTTTATTTGTTTTCTTTGCATCCTTGTAATATTAATATTGTGAATGTGTTGAAGTGTAAAAATAATAAATACTATTATATGAAATCAAAATGTACATGTTGAACATTTTTCGATAAATTAATTACATCCCAATTTCTATGGCACTTTATAGTTTTCGTGTGAAAACGTTTCGATTTTTTAATGTTTTTTTCAAATAATTTATATTTCTAGGTAAATAAACTCCATTCACCACTGGTACATATACTAAGTGCTATAGTACTGGACACATTACGCAGCAAAATAACCATTGAACTGATTGAAAAGTACAGTACATTTAATAAATGTACATATAATACTCCTATAATATGAATATAAATATAAATATACATATAATAAATGTACATGCTAATAAAATCTGGCTTCTTCTAATTAAATGTTGTATAATTTTACAATAATAATAATTTGATACACATGGAAAATTTGCAATGTAGTTCAAAAATTACAGAAAATTGATCAAATTTATTTGTATTAAATTAACAAATTTGTAAAAAAATTATAATAAGTATATACATGCCAGTCCAAAATACTTAAATCTTTATCCTAAATCTATATAATTTTTTTATTATATAATAATTATATGAAATATATTAATAATTCATTATACGTGGGATTAACAACAAGCACGTCCAAATGTGTAACTCTCTCAGATATGTTGTTATGTTTCCATACGTCGATTTTTATTTACAACCAAAAAAAGATTATATTTACGATGTATTAATGTAACTATAATTTATATATTGAATAATTATCCATTTAAAGACAAAATCTGGAAATTTTCAAAGATAATAATATAAAATTAAAATTATTGTAATATTTATGTTTTGTACCTCTATAACTATAAAAAATTCTGTATAAAAATTAAAATTATATTATAATAAGTCTTTAGAATGTATTTATTATTATTCATATTCAAGTCATAAAAAAATGTTACATTAAAACTATGAAAGAATTTATAAATAATAAACAAGTTGTTGAATGGACAGTGGTCTATTGCTATTAAACTAATCAAATTAAACAGGTAATTAAGATCATAAATACCACCTTTATAAAATTTAATTTCAATATCGTATAATTGTCAACTACTATATGTACACAAGGCCGTAGCTAGGTTTAGGGATTCACCCCTACCCTAAATGTTTTCTTAAAATATATTTGAATGATTTTAA